TCAATAGACGAATGGATAAAAAAAATGTGGCATTTATACACAATGGAGTATTACTCTGCATTAAAAAATGACAAAATCATAGAATTTGCAGGGAAATGGATGGCATTAGAGCAGATTATGCTAAGTGAAGCTAGCCAATCCCTAAAAAACAAATGCCAAATATTTTCTTTGATATAAGGAGAGTAACTAAGAACAGAGTAGGGACGAAGAGCATGAGAAGAAGATTAACATTTAACAGGGATGAGAGGTGGGAGGGAAAGGGAGAGAGAAGGGAAATTGCTTGGAAATGGAAGGAGACCCTCAGGGTTATACAGTGGAGGGGGTAGAGAGAGAGGAGGGGAGGGGAGGGGAGAGGTGGGGAGGGGGGATGGTGGAGGATGGGAAAGGCAGCGGAGCACAACAGACACTAGTATGGCAATATGTAAATCAATGGATGTGTAACTGATGTGATTCTGCAATCTGTGTATGGGGTGAAGGTGGGAGTTCATAACCCACTTGAATCAAAGTGTGGAATATGATATGTCAAGAAATTTGTAATGTTTTGAACAACCAACAATAAAAAATTTAAAAAAAAAAAAAAGAAATCAAATGCCACACATGTATGATTTTGTCAAAATGAACCCAAATACTATAATGCTCTAATAAAATCAAAATAATTTTATTTATTTATCTAATAAAATGATTAAACAAATGAATAATAAAATAAAAAATTTTTAAGTCACAGAAATTGCAAAGATCTTGCCCTTGAAGAAAGAGTCAGGTCATAGATTTCTTTTCCCATGAATCTTAAAATTAAATCCAAACTCTCAAAATACCTGTTCTACACCTTCTACTTCTGGAATATAAAACTGCAGCATGTTCTGAATCCCATTTTTCAGAGTAATGATTGAACTGGGACAGCTAGTACAAGAACCTTGGAGTTTCAGCTGTACAATGCCATCTTCAAAGCCTTTATAGATCACATCTCCTCCATCTTCCTGTACAGTTGGCCTGTGATCACAGATGTATTGGTGATACACTTAAAGAACAGAAGTTTTTACTGGAAAAATTTAATACAGCTTATACTTAGATTTTATATTGGTAAACTTCACAAAGTTAGAGTAACATTTACAATAGTTAACAATAATTGTGGTTAAGTCTTATTTCTAGTTTTAATTTTTTAAACTTGCAAATAAAATGCCAAAATTCATTCATACAAATATTTACTCATTACATCTAATTTTGCTGCTTATCAATAAACTTTAAGCATTTAAAATGTGAAATTTCCTAGTAAGTATTGTGATGACCTAAGATAGACCCGTTCACGTCTTTGACAAAGGAGGAGGCTTCTGGTTTTTCTTCAGGCACACTTTTCATTGAAATATAACATTAATACAGAAAATGCATAAATCATGTATGTACAATTCAACAAATTTTCACAAAATAAACACATAAATTGTAACTGCCACCCAGAACAAGAATCAGAACACTGGTGTCCTAGAAGTTCCCCTTTACTTCTAATTGCTCTCCTAATCAAATTTAACCACTATTCTAATTGCTGTTGCCACTGATTAGTTTTACCTGTTATTCAGCTTTATAATTTATAACCTTTTTTTTTTTTGCAGAAGTAGACATTGAACCCAGGGCCTCACACATGCTAGGCAAGTGCTCTGCCACTGGGCCACATCCCCAGTCCTATAAATTCTATTTTAAATCACAGAGATTTTATTCTTTTGTATCTGGCTTCTTTTTCTCTTTGTGAGATTCATTCATGTTTAGTATAGTAGTAGTTTATTCAATCTCATTGCTGCATGGTTTTCCATTAAGTTAATATGCTAGAATTTATTATCCATTCTAATGTTGATGGACATTTGGGTTAATACCAATTTTTGGCTTTTATAAATAGTGTACCTATGAAGATTCTTTTAAATGTCTTTTAGAACATATCCAAAGGCAAAATTGCCGGGTCAAGAGTGTAAGTATTTAGTAGACACTGAAAGACACCGTTTTAAACTTACTTTCCCACCAGCTAGTGTCCATCATTTTAACCATTCTAGTGGATTTTAGTGTTATTTCATTGTGGTTTAAGTTTAAAATACTTTTTTCATGTTTAGTAACCATTTGGTTATTGTCTTCTGTAAGGTGCCTACTCCAATTTCTGATTATCTTTTTCTTGCCAATTTGCAGATCTTTATATATCCTGTCATAAATTATAATTATCTTCTATTATATATAATTATATATTATATATATTATATAATTATCTTCTATTCTGTATTTTGTCTTTTCACTGTAAATTACATTTCTGATGAAGAAAAAGTCATAATTTTACTGCAGTCTGATTGATATAGTTTTTTTTCTCAATTTTATGTACATATTTTCTTTTGTTCTACCACTGAGGAGCAGCCCCAGCCCAATCCACATGTCTTTTTGAAAAGCACTGCTTAGTTTCCAAATACATGGAGGTTTTGCCATTATGTTTTAGTAACTGATGTCTAATTTAATCCTAATGCAGTCAATAAACAATATTCTCAGGCTGGAGTGTAGCTCAGTGGTACAACATGTACTTAGCATGCATAAGGCATTGGGTTCAATCACCATGGAAAAAAAAGACCCACAAACCCCCCAATATTTTCAATGATTTCAATCCTTGAAATCTGTTTAAGGGTTGCTTCATGATCCCTCATGTAGTCTGTTTTAGTACATGTCCCCTGTACACTTGAAAAGAATAAATATTTCTGTTGAGTGCAGCATTCTATATATGTCAACAATTTGGGCAAAGTTTTTGCTAATCTTGTGTTTGAAACTCTCTTATCTTAACTGATTATTTTTTGTGTTGTTCTATTTGCTACCCAGAGAACAGTGTTAGTCTCCCATCATGATTGTGAGCTATGTCTCCTTTTGTTTTGTGAAATATTCTTCATTTATTTTGAGAACATGTTATTAGGGTTTTAGGTTAGTATATATTCCTGATAGAAATTAAAGATCTCTCTTTATGTATAGTAATGTTTTAAGCTGTAAGGCACATTTTGTCTGATATCTGTTTGGCTTTCTCTTATTCATTTTTTGAATGCTATAGATTTTTACATCTTTTTATTTTCTCTCTCTTAATGGAGTTTAATGAAGTTAATTCAGCTATAAAGAAGAATGAAATTATGCCATTTCCAAGAAAACAGAAGTAACTTGAGAGCATTACGTTAAGGGAAATAAGCCAAACTCAGAAAGTTAAGCGTCCTGTGTTTCCTCTCATATGCAGAAGCTAGGGTTAAAAAAAAGGGAAAAAAAACAGGTGGGTGGGTAGGGTCTCATGAAAACAGAAGGGAGACTAGTAAAAGGAAGGGAATCAGGAAGAAAGGGAAAAGGTAAGTACTAGAGAATAAAATTGATCAAATTATATTTGTTACATTGTGTGCATGTATAAATATGTACAGTGAATCTATTATGTATAATTATAATACACCAAAAAAATAAAAATTATGGTTATGGAGCTGGGGAATGTAGGTCAGTGGTAGAACACTTGCTGAACATATGTAAAACCCTGCATTTGATCCCTAGCACTGAAAATTTTAAAAAAGTGTCTAAATACACATGGAATTCATTTTTTATGTTTAACCATTTTTAAGTTTAGTTCACATTATTGTGCAGCCAGTCTCTAAAATTATTTTCATCTTGCAAAACTTAGTTTCTACATCCTTTAAAAATGAAAAGAAGTTATTCAGTTGATAAGATTAACATACTAACAATGTAAGGTGTGTCTTAAAATATTTATAATGCAACAAGGGATAGTCATTCCACAGATAATTTTTAAAGCCCCCAAAGAAATCACTAATGGTATGCTACTTTCTCCACTTTCCTGTACTTTTTGTGTAAGTTTGAAAAGGTTCTTTTATTCTTTTTTTATTTGTTCTAATTAGTTATACATGACAGTAGAAAGAATTTTGATACATCATACATAAAATGGAGTACAACTTCTCATTCTTCTGGTTGTACATGACATTGAAAAGATTCTTAATAAAAACATTTTAAATTGTCTTTGCTCATTAATGTAATGAACAAATTCAGCTGGATATGGTGATGCACATCTGTAATCCCAGCCACTTGGGAGGTTGAGGCAGGAGGATGTAAGTTTGAGGCTAGCTTGGGAAATTTAGGAGACTGTATCTCAAACCAAAATATTTTAAAAAGGTCTGAGCCCAGACATGCTGGTACACACCTGTAATCCAGTAATTCAGAAGGCTGAGGCAGAAGGATAGCAAGTTTAAGGGCAGCCTCAGCAACTTAGCGAGACCCTGTCTCAGAAAGGGTTGGGTATGTGGCTCAATGATAAAGTCCCTCTGAGTTCAATACCTAGCACCAAAATAAAATAAAATTTAATTTATAAGACGTGGGGGTGTAGCTCAGTGGTAAAGCATTTGCCTAGCCTGAGTAAAGCCCTCAGTTCAAACCAGCAGATAACTCTAATATCTAGGTTACCTAGATATTAGAGTTATCTACTGTTTTTTTTATTAGTTGTTCAAGACAATACAATGATCTTGACATTTTTTTTTTAATTTTTTGTTTTATTTCTTCTTGGTCTGGTTTCAAGGTATGTCTAGTAATTTTTGACTGAATGATGGATACTAGCAACTCAGGATTATATTATATCAGAAAGGACTCATCATATTTTCCAGCAACATCTCAGTCTAATAGAATTAAACTAATTCAATACTGGACTACAGTTCTGTAAGCATGGTTTGCCCCATTTCAAGGCTCTAGTTTTCCCAGAAGCCCAACCAAGGACTGGGGTTGTAGCTCAGTGGTAAGGTACTGGCCCAGCATGCCTGATGCCCTGGGTTCAATTCCCAGCACCACACACACATACACACATACAAAAGCCCAATCAAGAGTCTAAATATTTCTTGAAGCTCACATCCTAAACCATAGTCTTTGTTCCTACTCCAGCACTATAAAACTGCCTTAACTCTGCTTCCCAACTGCCTTTTATTTGACTTCTTAGCCTCTACCTTACACAGCTAAGAATGAGCAGGTGCCATCCAGGAAGAACCTGAGTGTTAGGTTTACTTCCACTATTTTAAGTTAGTTATTTTTAGTTGATGAAGTGTACATATGTTTATAGTTTACAACATGATGTTTTGAAATATGTATACAATGCAGAATGGCTAACTCAAGATAATTAACACATGCCTCACATCATACTTGTGGTGGGAATACTTAAAATCTACTCTTGGGGGCTAAAGTTGTGGCTCAGTGGTAGAGCACTTGCCTAGCATGTGTGAGGCACTGGGTTTAATCCTCAGCATCACATTAAAAAAATAAATTAATTAACTAAAGGCATCGTGTCCATCTACAACCAAAAAAAATATTTAAAAAAATTTTAAAAATCTACTCAGTGATTTTCAAAAATACAATACATTGTTATTAACTACATAGAGCTTATTTTCCTTAGTGTCCCTGTTCTCTGGGATCTTGGCCCTTCAAATCAAGACTTCACTGGTAACCTAAAATTTTAATTTTTGTCTTCTCATCTAAACACATTTTCTAGAAACTCAATAGCTTCTCTGTTTCTTAGCAACTGTCTCTGCCCGGCTTCTTATACCTGGCTTTATACCAAGAACCAGCAAATGCCCCAAGGAAAGCTGCAGTGAGCTTCCTTTCTCAACAGGATCGTGGCATTTCAAATCTTGGTTGCTCTGGCAGCTTTCTAATACCTTCAAATAAATTTAAAAAAAATTTTTTTGAACTACTAGCCTTTTATGAGCAAAAGTAGCAGGCCACTTGCTGTTCTCTACTTGTTTAAATTTATTCTTTATGGGCAATTCTTTATGGCCTAAAATACAGGTACTCCTTTCTCTCTTCACAATCCTTCCAAATAACATTAAGTCCTTTAACTTTTAAGAAATCTGAGGATTATAGCAACATCAAACCTAAATGGTGTGAATGAAATTTCTTCATCCACAATGTTTAATAGATTGTTTTAAATTTTTGAGTGAATATAAAGAATCTTAACTTAGTATGGGGTTTAAGTTCAATTGTTATAGTTGCCTATGGTGGTTTCATTAATCTGTACTTTTCTTTTTGGTATGGAGATTTAACCCAGGAGTGTTCAACAACTGAACCACATCCCCAACCCTTTTTAATTTTTACTATGAGACAGGGTCTCACTAAGCTGCTTAGGGCCTTACCAAATTGTTGAGGTTCACCTCAAACTTGCAATCCTCCTGCATCAGCACCCCCAAGTCACTGAGCTTATAGATGTGCACCACAGTACCTGGCACTTATACTTAATTTTGAACTCTACTGTAATCTCATGGACAATTAAAAGTACATTTCTAAAATAAAAAATGGCCTCTGCAGCATTTGAATTCAGGTGGGAGAAGAGAACATACCTTATTCTAGTGTCTAACAGTTCCTTAATCATTGCCACAACTTCATCATCTTCTTCAGAACCTAGAAACAATTGAGTTTTTAAAAAATCAATAGTAGAAATTTAGTATCCATGCAGGTACAAGTATTAAAACAGCATGATTTTAAATTCATGGATCATTAAAAACATAAAACATGTAACTTGGTAATGTGACATAGTTGATTTTGAACAAAAAGAAAGAGAATCATTCATTTGGTTCTCTAAAGAAAAATTAAGTATACTGATCAACTCAACATTTAGTGTCAAGTACACTGAAATACCTTGATCTGCTAATTATGTTAGGGCTTGATTTCTGTGCCAGTAAATTTGAAAACTTTTATCATTCTTGAAAGTAGATGGAAGTAGCAGAGAATATAGATTATCTGAATTTTGAGACAAGAAAAGCATATCTATTTTATAAGTTATATCTTCAGCTTCTCAATTTAGTGATTTTCAAAAATATAGTCACACTTAATACAAAAGCCTTTTAGAAATTTCTTTTTTTAAAATTTCTTTTTTAGTTTTAGGTGGACACAATATCTTTATTTTTATTTTTATATGGTACTGAGGATCAAACCCAGTGCTTCATAAATGCCAGGCAAGTACTCTACCACTGAGCCACAACCACAGCCCTAGAAATTTCTGACATTGTATAAATCTGAGTAAAAAGTTGGTTTCTCATTTTGTTTCAATTGTGTTTTTGCTTTATTTTGTAGAGTTATACTAATCTTCATTCGTGCCTTTCTATGAGTTTTTCACCTTTGTGAGAGAAATTTAGTTACCTGTGGAAAAACCAAAAATGCAGATAATTCATATTATACTATAACAAACATTAGATTCCTGGCAACTCCATAAATAATAATTAATATTAAATAACATTAACTTTGGGTATTTCAATATATATATATATATTTAAATACCCCAAAATATAAATACTTTATTTAAAATAAATACAAAATATAAATACTATATATATATATATATAAATAAAGTTAAAAGTCTCTTTCATCAGCAAACCTAAGTTTCATTCATCATCATCCATTTCACAGTCACTGTCTAGTTTGGTGTAAATTCTTCTAGGACACATTTACATTTACATATGTAAATTGACACAGATGAGATCATACGACATGCATTGCTCTATACAACCTCTACCACTGAGCTAAATTCCCAGACCTAGGTTTGTACTTTAATTTTGGTATATGTAGTCAAATCACTCTCAAGTTGATATACACTTTATATATGTATTCATCAATAACACAGCCAGGAGCTCAAAATGCAGCTCAATAGTAAAGTGCATGGATGCATGAGGCCCTGGGTTCAACCCCAAGCAAATTAAAACAAAACCAAAAACGTGGCAGGTCTTCTTCACTTTGTTTATGATGTCTTCTTTTTTTCAGTGCTGGGGATGAAATGTAAGTATGAGCTCTACCATTGAGCTACATCCCAGCTACGGTTAGGAAGAAGTTATATGTCATGAATATACATAACAAAGAATTAATACCCCAAAATTCTTTAAAAATTCTGCTTAAATCAGTATCAAAAAGACATGACTTAGCTGGGCATGGTGGTGCACACCTGTAATCCCAGTGGCTCAGGAGGCAGAGGCAGAAGGATCACAAGCTTGAAGCCAGCCTCAGCAACCTAATGAGGTCCTAACCAACTTAGTGAGACGTTGCCTCAGAATAAAAAAATAAAATAAAAAGCGTGGGGATGTAGCTAAGTGATAAAGCACACCTGGATTCAATCCTGAGTACCAGGAAAAAAAAAAGACATGACTCAAATTTTTAAAACTTGACAAAGTACAAGAAACTTACTGACAAGGAAACTTAGTGCCTAATAAACATATGAAAACCTTCACGCTCAGTATTAATAAAAGAAATATAATTTTATTTATTTATTTGTTTTTAAACACTTATTTTCTAGTTGTAGGTGAACACAAGACCTTTATTTTTTTTATTTTTATGTGGTGCTGAGGATCGAACCCAGTGCTTCATGCATGCTAGGTGAGCACTCTTCTTCTGAGCCACAACCACAGCCCCAAGAAATAAAATTTTAAAAAGACAATACTTTATATTTAACATATTGATTTTAAACAAATGTAGAGCCAGGGGCATAGTTCAGTGGTAGACCACTTGCCTAGCATGTAAGAAGCCCTGGGTTTGATCCCCAGCACCACCACCACCAAAAGAAAAAAAAGAAAAGAAAAAGAAGACATATGCATGTCAATTAGCATTTATGATAACAACAATTCCACTTCTAGGAACATACTCTAAAAAAAACTCTCCAAGACTTGTATAAGGATGCTACTACAAAAATATTTGTAACAGAAATTAGTACAAACAATTCATTTGAACATAAGGAACAAACTAACTATAGTTTATTCACATAATGGAATACTATCCAGCACTTAAAACGAATAAACTAGAATGATACTTTTTTGAAATGGATTTAAAAAATATTATATTCTGTGCTCGCTTCGGCAGCACATATACTAAAATTGGAACGATACAGAGAAGATTAGCATGGCCCCTGCGCAAGGATGACACGCAAATTCGTGAAGCGTTCCATATTTTTGAGACGCATTTGATAGGAAAAGACATACATAGGCTGAAGGTGAAAGGTTGGGAAAAATCATATCACTCATATGGACTTCGGAAACAAGCAGGAGTATCCATACTCATATCAAATAAAATAGATTTCAAGCCAAAGTTAATCAAAAGGGATAAAGAGGGACACTACATACTGCTCAAGGGAACCATACACCAACAAGACATAACAATCATAAATATTTATGCCCCAAACAATGGTGCAGCTATGTTCATCAAACAAACTCTTCTCAAGTTCAAGAGTCTAATAGACCACCATCCCATAATCATGGGAGACTTCAACACACCTCTCTTGCCACTGGACAGATCTTCCAAACAAAAGTTGAATAAGGAAACTATAGAACTCAATAACACAATTAATAACCTAGACTTAATTGACATATATAGAATATACCACCCAACATCAAGCAGTTACACTTTTTTCTCAGCAGCACATGGATCCTTCTCAAAAATAGACCATATATTATGTCACAGGGAAACTCTTAGACAATATAAAGGAGTAGAGATAATACCATGCATCCTATCTGATCATAATGGAATGGAACTGAAAATCAAGGATAAAAGAAGGAAGGAAAAAGAATACATCACTTGGAGAATGAACAATAGGTTACTGAATGATCAATGGGTTATAGAAGACATCAAGGAGGAAATTAAAAAATTCTTAGAGATAAATGAAAACACAGACACAATATATCGGAATCTATGGGACAGAAAGCAGTTCTAAGAGGAAAATTCATTGCTTGGAGTTCATTCCTTTAAAAAAGAAAAAACCAACAAATAAATGATCTCATACTTCATCTTAAAATCCTTGAAAAAGAAGAGCAAAACAACAGCAAAAGAAGTAGAAGGCAAGAAATAATTAAAATCAGAGCTGAAATTAATGAAATCGAAACAAAAGAAACAATTGAAAAAATTGACAAAACTAAAAGTTGGTTCTTTGAAAAAATAAACAAAATCGACAGACCCTTAGCCATGCTAGCGAAGAGAAGAAGAGAGAGAACTCAAATTACTAGCATACGGGATGAAAAAGGCAATATCACAACAGACACTTCAGAAATACAGAAGATAATCAAAAACTATTTTGAATCCTTATACTCCAATAAATTAGAAGATAGTGAAGCCATAGATAAATTTCTTAAGTCATATGATCTGCCCAGATTGAGTCAGGAGGATATAGACAACCTAAACAGACCAATATCAATTGAGGAAATAGAAGAAACCATCAAAAGACTACCAACTAAGAAAAGCCCAGGACCGGATGGGTATACAGCAGAGTTTTACAAAACCTATAAAGAAGAACTAATACCAATACTTTTCAAGCTACTTCAGGAAATAGAAAAAGAGGGAGAACTTCCAAATTCATTCTATGAGGCCAACATCACCCTGATACCTAAACCAGACAAAGACACTTCAAAGAAAGAAAACTACAGACCAATATCTCTAATGAACCTAGATGCAAAAATCCTCAATAAAATTCTGGCCACTCGGATACAAAAACATATCAAAAAAATTGTGCACCATGATCAAGTAGGATTCATCCCTGGGATGCAAGGCTGGTTCAATATACGGAAATCAATAAATGTTATTCACCACATCAATAGACTTAAAAATAAGAACCATATGATCATCTCGATAGATGCAGAAAAAGCATTCGACAAAGTACAGCATCCCTTTATGTTCAAAACTCTAGAAAAACTAGGGATAACAGGAACATACCTCAATATTGTAAAAGCAATCTATGCTAAGCCTCAGGCTAGCATCATTCTGAATGGAGAAAAATTGAAGGCATTCCCTCTAAAATCTGGAACAAGACAGGGATGCCCTCTCTCACCACTTCTGTTCAACATAGTTCTCCAAACACTGGCCAGAACAATTAGACAGACGAAAGAAATTAAAGGCATCAAAATAGGAAAAGAAGAACTTAAATTATCACTATTTGCAGATGATATGATTCTATACCTAGCAGACCCAAAAGGGTCTACAAAGAAACTATTAGAGCTAATAAATGAATTCAGCAAAGTGGCAGGATATAAAATCAACACGCATAAATCAAAGGCATTCCTGTATATCAGCGACAAATCCTCTGAAATGGAAATGAGGACAACCACTCCATTCACAATATCTTCAAAAAAAATAAAATACTTGGGAATCAACCTAACAAAAGAGGTGAAAGACTTATACAATGAAAACTACAGAACCCTAAAGAGAGAAATAGAAGAAGATCTTAGAAGATGGAAAAATATACCCTGTTCATGGATAGGCAGAACTCACATCATCAAAATGGCGATATTACCAAAAGTTCTCTATAGGTTTAATGCAATGCCAATCAAAATCCCAACGGCATTTCTTGTAGAAATAGAGAAAGCAATCATGAAATTCATATGGAAAAATAAAAGACCCAGAATAGCAAAAACAATGCTAAGCAGGAAGTGTGAATCCGGCGGTATAGCGATA